TAATTTCCATTCACTAGTATTTTTCAAAAAAATCTTAACAGACGGTCTCTCTCAGATAAGAACTCCACAAAATACATCCCTCAAGAATTCCAAGTCCCACCCACTACCATAAATTACTTCCCCCAAGTCTTACCGACTGATATTATTCAAAGCCCCTACTGCCGCTAAGAATTTTCGGACACCCTACACTTCTGAGTCAGACACGAAGAGAACACTTTGCCAACTCCCCCACTAGAAAGAATGTAAGTTACTTAATACCTTTCTGGCCTTTATATCTTCATGTACATTCACTGATCTTATTTATATTATTTTTCTATTTATTATTTTATATTATTTTTATATTTTCTTTGATTTGTTTTTACAAAGTTTGCATTATTTATCTTTTTTTATAATCTTCTATGTTTATTTCAACTTTACTTTGAATTCGATTTCATAATGAACAATTTCCAATGTTTTAATTTCTACAAATAATATAGTACTCAAATACATAAACATGATAGTGTCGGTCGGGGACGGTTTACTCGAGTTTTACAGGATTTCTCTACAGTAATTGATTTTTACTCCAAATTGAATTGACTAAAATGCTTCATGAGAATAAGTTCTTTGAGTAGCATTGGTTCTATTCGCGGAAATATTTGGCCTGACTAGAATTGCCGGTTTGGCTTTAACTTATAACTCGAGTAAAGACGAAACACTTTCATATTTACGTATTTTTATCAATTATTGTTCATTGAACGGGAGTTGGTTTGTTCCCCTTGAAAAGTCAACTAATTTCCGATCAATGACAATGATTACATGTTTTAATTTTTTCCTTTTACAATTGAAATTTTATTCTTCATGATGATTTAACTCCAGTCCCCGTTAAAACATTATTAACATTTTGCTTTCAAAAAATTACTTCAAAACATCTTTCAAAATATAACTTACCAGTATGGATGCACACTTTTAAAAATAATTCTACTTTTAATTAAACTTAGGAGATAATATAATCAATTATCAATACTGTTAGGAAATATATATATATGTAATATAAAGCAAAGGAATGAGACGGAGCAGTGTAGATGCGTGATTAGACCCATATTGAAGAAGATTTGATGCGCAGTATGCTAGTAATGCTAACTTGGTAATATCTAAAGAACTTGGCAGTCGAGGCAGTTTTAATTCCATTTTTATTTCCAATTAATATTTGTGGCCACAATCACTTGGCACTCTAGTCGTGCCTTTCAACAGAAGATTTACATTTTTGATATTGTTGGGATAGAAAGCAAGCCAGCGAAATCACATCTTAGCACAGTAGCGAGCAAAAGCTGAAGTGCGTAGTTATGCAAGATGGAGGCACGCGAAGAGAAAAGTTTTGGTTTACAAGGACAGTTTCAGTTCCCAATGATTACGTCATCAGAGCTGCGCCGATCATAGAGTGATCTAGAAATGACGCAATGCAGAGAAGTTATTACGATTTTAGAATAGAGAGGAAGAATTTATGTTTATAGTTATATTATAATTTTGATTCATATATTTTTATCCCACATATTCCCCCCTTCAAAAAGAAAAAGGCGTAGCGACAGAGAAGCCTTTTTAAAGAAAAAGAGTTAAAGCACAAGCAAATTAAAAAAATATAAATAAATAATAAAATTTTGATCCTGTAAAGTATTATTTATAAATATCAATTTTTTTAAATAAATTTTTAATTTTTAGAGTCCTATTGAATTTTTCAACATTTCAGTCCAAAAGTCTTTTTTGTTTGAGAGTTCACAAATCATAATTCTTCCGGAAGGTTCTTGTTATCGCCAGAATATCACAAATAAACTTTTACATAACCATTACTTATAATTAAATGTAATGCACATAAATATTTATGATACTTATTTCTATACTGATAAATTATAATTTAACATCAGATTTTCAGAATTTATGGTTTCACCGTTATCACAAAATAAACTTTTACATAATCATTACTTATAATTAAATGTAATGCACATAAATATTTAAGATACTTATTTCTATACTGATAAGTTATAATTTAACATCAGATTTTCAGAATTTATGGTTTCACCGTTATCATCTTTCATTTACAATTCCTTTATTTTACCATACTGGAAGGCCTCGCAATACTGCAATACTTCTAAACAAACATATCCATCAATAGGGCTGTCCTCTTGAGCCAACCAGTGTGTTCTAGGCACTGGTGGCCCAGGGTGCCTAGGCAGTTATTTGAAAAGGCCTCCGTTCCTTGCATTAAGGTAACTGGCCTTTGAGAACTGCACTAATACATTCCATAATAAAAAATATATAATAATAATAATAATAATAATAATAATATAAAAAATTTACATGCATTCATAAAATGAGAGCCTCCAACATTATCTTGCATGAAGAGGGTACAAGGAACAACTGTACAGAGGTAATTACAGGCCTCTGTTGAAGGAACCAGTACACCCTCATCATACTATACTTAACACACAATAACCCATAAATTTTAACATGCATTTACCATAACTTCATATTACATATTTGTAATAATTTCACTTATTTTTTACACCTTTATTTTTAGAATAATTATAAAATTCGTATTCAAAATTCTCAACAAAATTTCAAAAACATAAAAACTTATCTTAATATCCTTCCCTATGAATAATTTAAATAGCTTAAAATTAATTAATTAATTTGCTCACACATAATTATGAAAAATTAATGAACAAGAATTTCAGATTTTCTCAAAACAAATTGCAGAAATTTTAACCAAAGTTGAAATGAAAAATATAGAATTCGCAGCATATTAAATGATTTAGTTTATGAGTTAAGAGTCACACGAACGTAACAATTTTTGAGCTGTTGAAAAAGCAGAAGCGCAAATAATTTTCTGTCGCACATACTTGCAAACACTTAACTCGGATCGACCTTGAACCCGCTGTAATGCTTAATTCCTAAACGGTAATTCACTGATGATTTCCTTTTCACTAGGCATTCGAACTTCTCAATTTATCGAGAGATTACTTTCAATCTGTAAACACTACGCGTGATTATTATTATTACTATTATTTTTTTTTTGAAACACTTGCAAAACACCACAGCAGAAGAATGATCTGCTATTTTTTAAACACTGAAAAAATTAATCAATACTGTTTAGGAAACATATATATATAGATATATATATATATATATATGTATGTATATGTATATATATACTCACGCTGTTACTTGGCTGAGTGAGCTCAGTTTTTATTCTTATATGCTGATAAATTGCGCATTTTTTGTTTTAAGAATGATTGAATTATCTTGTTCTTATTTTCCGGTTAAGGTTTTTATACCTTTAGTTAATCTGCATGCAATAGTCGTATTATTAAACTATCAACAATTTAACAATTGTTTAAGTGCTGCTAAGCCTAATTTTTGTTTACCATATCAGTCATAATTGTTTACATTTGAAACTCAGCAGAAAATCGAATTACCTTAATTTTTTTTCTAATGTAATTAACGAAAACGTATGAAAATATTTCATTCAAATTAAACCATTCTGAGAAAACTGTTCTGCGAAAAGTATAGCATTTAATGCCGTTCAAAATGAAATGTTGTTTAAAAATATGTTGTTTTCATATACTTAGGACTCTGAAGTGTTGTAGAAAAAGAAAATATATACATTTATATGTATATTTAAGACGTAATTACAAAATATTTACATCCGATCGCGTCAAAACCCATTGAACTTAATGGAGTGACCCTCAGATTCTGCACCTTCAGTGTCTTTTTGCAGAGTGGGACCATAATTAAACTTTCATTTCTGTGCACCGAAAAATCTGCCTTGTTGCCTGTTGGCGGAGTGGCTTGTTTTGTGTAGAAACTCTAATTTTAATTGTAAAAAGTATTGTTTTTATTGTTTTAACTGTATTTGGTGCTTTAATTTTTCCATAATTTTCAGTTTTTAATGAAAAATTTTAATTTTTATGTAATAGGGGGACCGGAAAGTAATGTCGTTTCTCCGCATGTCGACAACACATCCTAAGGGCAGAAGTGAAAGCAAATTCATGTCAAACACTCTTAACCAACCTTGGTCAACCATCCAAAACATTTAAAGCAGAATGGAAAAAATAAGCAAAGCAGGTGTTTGAGTCCCCCATAATCTGTCCGAAGAGAACAAAGGCCAACCTATCCATCACACGCAATGTATTGCTTCAACGGCACCCATACAGAACCCTTTTTTGATCGCTTGATTGATTAGTGGAGACAGAAAAATAAGTCCTATATGATAATCCAAAACTCAAAAGGCAGTTTTAATAGGGGTTACAAAGGGTTTACATCCCGAAAAGGCGCTTCTGGGTGTTTGGATGGAGTATTCGCGGAATTGTTCATTTTGAATTGCTGAAACCTGGAAAAACTGTTAATGTAGACCTTTATTGTGAACAATTGGATCTAGTGAACCAATCTTTAATTGGAAAAATATCCGGCGATTGTCAACGGAAAAGGCGTCATTCTGCAACACGACAATGCAAGACCGCACTGTGCAAGAACACTGGAAAAATAAATGAATTGGGGTGGGAGGTAATGCTCACCCACCATATTCGCCCGATATCGCACCCTCGGATTTCCATTTATTCCAATCCCTACAACATTTTCTTAGTAACAAAAAAATTTCAAAATTTGATGATGTCCAAAATGCCATCTTGAGATATTTTACTCAAAAACCAATTGATTTTTATGATCTGGGATTGAAATCTGCATACTAGATGGCAAAAGGTTGCTGATAACGAGGGTGATTACATTATTGATTAAAAATAAAAACGTGTTCAAAATTTATTCGCGTGAATTTAATGTAAGAAAGCGACATTACTTTCCGGTCCCCCTATTATTTTTGCCTGGTCGCGAAGTGAATTAATTAATAGCGCATGCGCATTAGGTAAGAGGCACTGAATCGTCTGCAAAAAACTGTTTCTTTTTAATTTTAAAAACTGTATCTTTCTTTTTCTTGTAAAAACTGTTTGTATTTCCCTTTGTTGTCTTCCTAGACTGCATGGGTGGATGGGCCTGTTTTATAACGAGTATCTGCGTCATCGGCTTGTTGACAGCCCTGGTAGGAGACTTAGCATCCCACTTCGGCTGTACGGTCGGCCTCAAGGATTCCGTCACGGCTATCTCCTTTGTAGCTCTGGGAACCAGTGTCCCAGGTGAGTTGATACCTTCTTATCTATAATTTTGTGTTCATTAACAGTAAAGGCTTTGCTAACAATAAGCATATCTTAATCCTATGCATGTCTGAATTATACTGTTGTTTTCATCAGTACCTATAGTATAATATTATACAGACGCCTTCATCAGTTCTTATACAATACCCAGTTACAAAGTTAGACATTGTCTAAAAGGATAGAAACATTCATAAGCATGCTGGGACATAAAATGCCCTCACACTTATGGAGGTATGTTTTTTAACATATAACCAGTTTTTTATGAAGTTGCGAGCACCTTAATGTCGGGACAACGCTATGCGATTGGAATATTATTCATCTTGATCAGAATCTCGGACTTGAGCGTTAACTAGATAGTGGTTAAAGAGCCAACACTTTCATGAAGGCTGCCTTGCAAAAGGTAACTTTCATAGATCTTCATAACGGTATAAATAATTTCATAAAGAAACATGAACTTTCTGATGAACGGAAAACATCCTTAGGAAATTTTCCGTCTTTTCGAAAATAAAAAAGAAAAAAAAAAAAACAAGCCTCCCCCCCAAAAAAAAATCTGAAAGGTTTCAGATTTTAAATTACGTCCGAAGGGGCGTTCTTTAACGTTTTCTGTGTTACCTTTATTTATTATATATCATGTTCTTTGCACTTAAACCATAAAATTCAGTTCAGTAGCAATGTCACAAAATAATTTTAAAATGAGTCTATCTTTAGAATTTCCGATACACAGTTCCGTGTCCGATGGAGATAAAAAGGTTTTTCTCCCCCGCCGTAGAGTGTTGCCATTGCTCGATTTGAAATCGTTGAATTTGTTACTCAAAAATTCGTTAAAGTTTTACAAAATATGAAATCGATAATAAAACAAATTCCAAATTTCAAATTCGGTCTTCCACATGCCCATATTCGAAGAAGGATTACGTCATTCAAAATTCGATGGCTCTAGATACCGTTGTTTTATCACAATGCGAGATCTAGGTATCGTTGGGCTCTAGGTACCATTGTTTATCACAATGCTAGAAACATGCATACATTTATGCAGATTCTTCATTATTTAATTTCTTCAAATATAATGCAGCACTCTAACATTTGGTGTCAACAGTTTGAAAAGTGAAACGGACACTTACAGTGATTCCACGCAAAATCGCAAAACGAAAACTATATTCCTTCGAGGACAAAGCCCCTTTGGAGTAAAAACCAGCATAAAAATTTAAATCTTTTTATGACGGACCACCGTTATAAAACACTTCCAATATATATATAGAAAGAGAGAGAGATTTATATAGATTTATTCAGATTTAATGTATATAGAGAGAGTTACATGCTTAAGGTTTAGTTTCCGATTTAATCCATGTAGAACCGGTGAAAGCTTGATGAAATTTATTTCTAAAGAGGAAAAAAAGAAACACTTTAGAATTCTGGAAATTTTTACGAAGAAGTACTCATACAGCTCCTTCTCAGCATGATAGAGCACAGTCAGAAGTTACCACTTAAAACTACTAAGAACGTTGAACACAAGGCAATACGAAAAGCTTCAAATGCGTAATCTCGCACAGTGATCTCTCAATACCTTGAACTGTTAATGCTCTGAGCTAAACTCTGAACTCAACTTAAAATGTCCAGTCCAGTCCATGTATATATTGCCGAACTATCGCTAGTAGATGGATGCACTCTATGGTTTAATATAGTGTTTCCTTGTCCACCGAAACATTTTCTGTATCTTTGATTTCTCGAAACTGCTGGAAGGCATAAAGAGTCAGAGTTACATAGGGCCGGATACAGTTACAGTTACATAAGGATAGGACCAATTATAGTTACACAGACATCTGACTAAAATGTCGCCGAATGGTCACCAAAATTAGCTACTTTTGGCGATTTTCGTGACCAAAATCAATCGCCGAATCCATCACCAGTTTAGCGCTATCTCGCTAATAGCCGTTTACCTCAATATTAAATGGACTTACCCTTGTTACCTTAAATTCCGAGGATGCTTCGTATCCCGACGCCTTTCTGGTTACATTATACAAGAGATATTACAATTTACATTTACATTACAAAAGAGATATAACAATTTACATATAATTTCACGAAAAGTATTTGCATTTATGCAAAATTTGTACATATATATATATATATATGTACAAATTTTGTACAAATTTGTACATATATATATATATATATGTACAAATATTTGTAATAATAAAATTCCATAGTCAAGAATACACTTAAAATTCTAACTGTATGTTCTTTTCATTTTTAATGGCAACGTTCTCTTATTTGAAAGTACGTGGAATTAAATTCACAGCCCCGTAGTCAAGTTGTTTTTCCCGCTTTTTCTACACGTACAGTTATAGAATGTTCTGGAAATATTTAAAGCGAACTGGATTGGCTCACTAGGTTGACGTCATTTCTTTTTTTTAAATGTCACGATGCAGTAAACTTCATACAAAAAGTTATTAGTAATTCTTTTTATTTACTCCGGATACCTGATTTTGTAACTGCTATTTCTCCTGAATAATAATAAATGGATCCTGTTTTTTTTTAAACTTATCCTCTGATAATTTAAGCTACGACTAAAGCTGTTACATCACATATATATCTGTATATTTATATATAGTGATTCCGAGATCTGTTGGATGTCTCCAAAAGGTTGCATTACTAAGTATTTCTCGAACGATCTCTCGATCATCTGCAGCAAATCCATGGTTACAACTTAAGAATTAAATCAGGTCAAAGTTTGGAGATCGCAAAAAAATTTTATTTGCCTGATACAAAAATGCATGTGAATATGTATATGAAATTTTTCCCAAGAGTTTTATGTGAAATATATGTACACGAAAATATGCTTCCTTAAAGCGGAATTTGTCAAACAAATATTTAAAGCATCCAAGGGCTCAAAACATTCATAATGTAGAGATATTTTATTAACTGAAATGCCAGCAATCGTACATAAGTTTTATTATGGATGTGTCATAATTTTTGAATTCAAAATTTTGAGACATAATTTGTACTTCAAAAAGTCGTTAATATATATATATATATATAGATATATATATATATATATATATATAAGGGTTTCAGATTCCAGTTTTTACTGAAACTTTAAAATTCGTTAAAATTTGATTGAGAAAATTTTGTTTTCATACGGTTACTAAATCGATGTTTTCCCGTTTCTTTTCGTAGAATAAAATTAACTTGCATGTGATAATTCTGACAGTTTTTTTTTTTTTTTTTTTTTTTTTTCAGGGTCCGTTCTTTCTTTTGAAAGTCCACGAAAAAAAATTGGAATTTTGTATGGATAGAAGTCATTTATTTAGCCAACTTTCATTATCTAAACACATGGGTTAACGTTCAGCGATTCAAGGATTAATTAAATTTTCGAACATTTCGAAACGCTGTGCGAGATAAAGTTACAAATGATTACAGTTATTAAATATAAATTTCAGTCAACATTTAGGTCAATGTTTATAAGAGGCGATTTAAATGTGATATTTAGCAAGAAAATTAATATTGTAAGGAATTTCTTTTCAGCAGTTCTAACTTCTTCCAGAAATATGCGCTATTGTAAGCATGTAAGCATAGTGAAACACATTCATTCATAGTGACAGACATCTACAGATGGCTATTTCACATTGGCAGGTGGCGTTGTTTCAATAAGCATTCATCACAATTTAAAATAGTTTTATTATTCTTTGTATGACTTAAAGTCTTAAGAAAACTATGAACTGAGAATATGGCCCATTAAAATAAAAATAATCGGATGTAGATGGCTTCCTTGTAAGGCCTATTAAATTATACACATTTTTCCCTGCATTTCATTTAAACTTATTTCATTAGAGATATATTTCTCATTCAATTAATTCAGTTCTCACCTCGCGGCAAGGCAAAAATGCATAAACTCAAAATATCTTCATTAAAAATTGCAAAATATGGAAAATATGAGTATAAAACACCAAATACAACTGTAAACAGTTAAAGAATTTTTTTACAATTAAAATTAGAGTTTCTACCCGAAAACAAGCATTCGACCAGCGGGCAAGAAGGCAGATTTTTCGGTGCACAAAAGTTTACTTTTGGTCCCACTTAGCAAAAAGACACTAAACTTGCAGAAAATGAATTCACTATGCTACTAAGTTTCAAATGTAAACATATACGGCTGCTCTGTTAGGCTTATTCGCACTTAACCAACTTTTAAAGTCGTCATAATTCTACAATTATTGCATGCAGATTAAGAAAAGGCATAAAACCCATATCCGAAATCTAAGAAAATATCTGTAGTTTTGAACCAAAGAGAGAGGTGCACATCTACATGTTATAGTAGTCCTATATACGAACTTTCAACTTACTGAGGTTACTCGTTTTTGAGTTATGCGAGATACGTATATACGTACGTACAGACGTCACGAAAAGAGCTCTTCTGAATCCATTTTAAATCTGTTTTATAATCCGTTTTGTGAAAAAGATTTATTTATTCTGTTCTTACGTATAGATGTTACTGAAAAATATCGTTAAATTTTATTCGATATGGGCCAAAATGGATATTTTTGTTGAAATATATCACCTGAAGTTATTTATGATTACAATACTTCCTTGCAAGTAATAAAAATAAAATAGGAGACTATAACAACTTTCCATAGCAAACCAATATGGCTTAAATAATTTGACTGAAAGCAAACGACAAATATAGTTGTAATCCACGTTTTCCAACAAAATAATAGAACTTGAAGACATAATTGCAAATTTTCATGCAAAATAATCTAAATTTGAGTAGAAAGAAAAACAAGATCTCACTTTCTATTACAAAAATACTTCGTTCGATGCCAATCATTTAAGACGTTCCTCTAAAGATATCGTCTTGTCTTTATTCAAGTTAATTTATTTCTTTAGTTACTTTATTATAGCCAAGCATTCTTTGCTTGTTGTATTATAGGATTCAATGTTAATTAGCCAGTTATTATTATTATAACTTCTTCTTTCCGAAATCCTTGATG